GATCAGGGGTCTGTCCAGGCCGAATTTACTACCGTTTAGCGGTACCTTCACAAATTCAATTTTAGGTAAAACGGTAGTTTCACAAATTCAACTTTAGGAAAAACGGTATTTTCACAAAATACTTTTTCTTAAAATTTTATTTTTGTCTCCCTTAAGAAACGATAAATCTATATTTTTACCATGTTTTAGTGTTGACTTTTTAATATAATTTTTAATTTTTCACAAATTATGTCAAAATTTTCACAAAATAGGTACTTTTAAGAAAAACCTAGACAGACCCCTGACTATACTTAACTATCATTTAGTACTTGCAATAGACACTTCAGAAATATCTAATTTCATAAACAATATTGCGCTTAAAAGTAGTAAGACAAATAAGAAAGTTTAAAATTTAATATCAAGGCTGTTGTGTTATCCAGAAAAAACGACTTTTCAACTACTTTCTGGAAGAATTAAAACATTAATGAATGCCAAGACTAATTAACAGTTATTTTAAGTTTTAAAAAAAACTGACATTGAAAGAAGCATTTAGCAATTTATTTACCAAACTATTCAAACAATACATATGCATAAAACAATTTCTTAGAATTTTGTTTAAGGATAAAAGCTTTAACTAATGGCTGTGGAGAAAATATCAAGAAACACTTAAACTATAAACAGAAATAAAAAACAGTATGCACATAACCTATAAATTAACTGCTAAAGAACCTTACTGAATAATTCAGTGCTAAGATATTTCTTACTAGAAAGAACAATACATTTTAAGACACAAATCACTCCAAAGGGTGTCATAAATCATAGAAATAGAACTCAACAACAATGGGACATTACGAGCTTACCACTCTTTCAGAATTTCCATCAGAATGATCAGATTCGTTATCGGATAATTCTATAACTGGTAAATAATCCTCATCATCGGTCTCAAGTTCACCCTCATCATTGGATGATATCATTTCTTCATCCATTAGAAGGTGGTAATAAGCAAATAACCAAGCAATGGTGATTTTTTTTACTAGTACTCAGCATCAATTACAAACCGATAAACATTTAGAGATATTACATGACAGTCTTTTAAAATTCCAAATAGGCTGAATAAATTTATTCAAGATAGAATTTATTCAATAGTCATTAATCAAATATACTTTAAAATATGAAAGTATAAACATTCTTTAAATATAATTAGTGCTTCACGATGTTTGTTTACAATTGTTATGCCGCCACATTTTTCCTAACTAAAAATAGCAAGAATTATTGTTGCCAACAAAATTATATAATATAATTATGAGGTGAATCCGCATATTAAAAAAAAACACGGCAGTAAAAATAATCCGTGAAAAGCTGTTCTCACTGCAGAGAAAACATACCATAATGCAAATAAGAAGCTGATTGGTGAAATACAATAGCATGTAAAATAACTAGCCAATAAGGTTTCGTTCACATCAGTTGCAGCAAAATACAGTGCGCCATCTATGCTTTGTTGATTGATTTTCACTGCATGATTCTCTTGTCACCGTCAAGGGAGACGGAGAATCTGACTAGTAAAATTTATGTTATCTCTTGAAGAACGGACCAATTAGATTCTTATTTTCTCTTGACTACTTGTCCATTGATGGCGATCTTCGGTCAATTGTGAAATCAGTCATCTATGTTACCCTACATTTTCCTTTTTAAACTCCGATTATGATATTTTATTCCCTAATAATTGTTTCAAGGAATAGTGTTTGATGAAAAAATCAATAACTCGGTATAAAAATTTTTTAATTTGTTTAAAGCAGTTTGGAATATAAGTTTTATTTATGAAAAGAATTTGTTAATCCGCAACCTCCCAAATATTCTAAATTTATTTTTTAAGAAAGAAAAGAATATGAATATTTATTAATCAATGAATTTGAACATTAAACAATAGAGATAATATAAATAACAACTAAACTAAATTATTTTTGAGTTTTGGAAATGTTAAGAACGTATAACTGAAGTTTCATAACGTGATAAATAAAACCGAACTATCTGCCATGCGTTCTTTGTTATTTTTAGGGTGAAATGTTTTTCGGGGCATTTTTAACATAAGATACATCTTGCCATGGTTAATTTCATCAACAGTATTCTTTCAGAAACTAATTTATTCTTCAAATTGTTGAAAATCTCTAAATTATTAGCTGAAATGGTATTTTCTTGATAAAATATCATAAATTGTAATGGCTATATTTTAGTTTTAACTTTATTTTCAAGATCTTAAAAACATTTAGCTTTAAAAAATGCCAAGTTATTATTAATAGTATAATCTTCCATCTTTCTGGTCTTTTATTATATTTTACGATCGACAAAGATACCTTTCATTTTTCTTCATTATTACTTTTGTTTAGAAAATTTGAATGTGTTAGAAAGGAAAAAAAATTAAATTGTTTTAGTTGCACTTTCAAAAAACGTGCGTTTTTTCCCCAATTTTTTCTTTTTTAAATGATTAGTTTTTTGTCAAGACAATATTTAACTATTATATTGTAAAAATTAGAAAACACATAGACACATTAATAATTTTTATAGCCTTGGTGAATTAGTTAATAAAAAGAATAGCATTAAAATATTTTTTTTTAAAGTAAGTTTACTTCATAAGAAGTTAAAACCATAAATGAAATGGTTGATGAGTGATTCAGTTAAAAGTTATGACTAGATGAGAAGTAAAAGATCTAGAAATAACTGAACATTGAAGTAAAAGACGTCAGAATAATATTTGCTTCTATGTCGTAATATTAAAAAAATACTTAGATGAAAATTTGAAATGTAAAACACATAGTTCAGCTTCCATAAAAAAGAACAGACATCAGCATGCTAGTTTTAATGCTATATTGTCAAGTGTCATGAGTAAAAAATTACATCACAACTTGGCAAGGATTTGTAGAGTTTTTTTTTTACCAGTTCTTATCTTCCATGGTTATTGTTATGGAAACCATTGGAAAGATTTTAAATTAAAATGTAAAAATACGAAATTGGTTGGTTTCGAAAGTGTTCTTGGAGATCCAAGTAGGTTTCTCATTGTTTTACCGATATAATGAAATGAGAATGTCACTGGTTTTCTAATATAATAAATAGAGGGAAACTCTGGTTTAATACGCAAGAAAGAGTGAATCAAGAAACATTATCATGTGGATGACTATACCTAAATACAATGCAATTAAGGGATAAAATTAATGAGTTATGGGAAAAAAGAATATGCTTAAAAATAGTACTCGCTAAAAAAAATAATAATAAATAAATAAAAAACAGAGCGACAAAGTGTTTGACTGCACTTTAGGAGTAAATTATGTCAGAAACTTTTTTTTTTTTTGTATACACTCTGCAGGCAGCGTTTTTCTAACAAGCATACGTAATGAGTATTGATGACGTAGTTTATGTTTGAGTCTGTTTTGTTTTCTTTACTAACGTCTGGTGACTCTAGAGAATAGATTCCTATTTTCGAGCACTCGACTTCTTTCACTCATACTTTTTGGTCCATTATCGAGTGCAAATCTCGATCAAGTAGTTTTCATGTTTGTTGCTGCTTTAAAAATCCGAAAAACTTAAAAATTCATTTTATATTTTCATCTGATCAACGATAAATTTTCATGTTTGCTACGAAATAAGGCCCAAAATTGAAAGATGTATGACGGCATAATTAATATGGCTAAAATATTTCATTTATTGCCCTTTCCAGTGGCCCTAAGATATTGCAGTGAGAAAAATACTTTTTTCGAACCGCATCACCATAAACTATCGGGTCACAATCACAATCAATTATGCAGTCTGAATTTCTTACTCGAGACCTTTTTTTTCTTCTTATTTAAGTGAGCGTAACCAGTACCCCATTGCTTTTCACCGAGACTAGTATTTGTTCGAGTATATTTCAGGAAAACGAAGTATCAAAGATAGAATTTTTTGGGAGATTGAGCAGTCGTTGTTGCTGTTGTTAATTTACGTCGCACTAGAGCTGCACAATGGGTTATTGGCGACGGTCTGGGAAACATCCCGGAGGACGATCCGAAGACATGCCATCACAATTTTGATCCTCTGCGGAGGGGATGGCACCCCCGCTTCGGTAGCCCGACGACCTGCGCGCGAAGTCGTGCACTTTACAGTAGCACAGTTGAGATTGAGCAGTCATTTTATAAAGTTTTTAAACAGAACACATCTCGTTAGATATCTTTTCATTATTTTCCATTTTATTTCTATTTCAGAGTTCACCTTATCTCCAACAAAGATGTTTTCAGCGAAACAGCATCCAGCAAAGATCTTTTAGGTTAATCTGCATCATCTAAACTTCTTATGAAGTAAACTTACTTTTAAAAAAAAATAACATTTTAATGCTAATCTTTTTATTAACTAATTCACTAAGGCTATAAAAATTATTAAAATTTATAAAGTTATAATAAGTTATTAAACTAAATTGACTCTCAAATCAATCAATATTATTTCAGAATTCAGATAACTGGAAAGTTCGTTTAACGGTAACTACCGGTAAAAATTTCTAATTTGTAAAGCATTTTTATAAAATTACAAAGCCTAGCAACTCTTGCTGTAGTAACCTGTTTAGGAATATTCTAACTCCCAATGCACTTAACACATCTGCCAGCCAGACGACATCGGAAACCATATCACTCGAATTCAAAATAAAATTACTACTGCTTTTAGCAAGGCAACCATCAGCATAAAATAAACGACCAATTTTAAGCTCCTAATGAAAAAAATTAAAATCTAATTAGACTACGGAATTAGTGTCACAAGTGGCAAGGTTGAACTTGATCATAACCGTTGGTGTATAGGATAAAACATTTCCACCTGTGAACTAGATCAACCAGACTGTACATCTCAACTGGAAATTTTTATTTCTCTCCAGTAGGGGGCGTTAGTTTCCTTGTAATTTCAACTTTATGTATCAAATTATATTTATAATGCACGAAACTTTCTAATTTTCTTTTTGTTGATAAGTGATAGCAACAAATACTGAAACAATTTCATTTAAAATACATAAACAACTCTTTTCTAGAATTTAATACAATAATTAATTGAAAAAGATTAGATGTTTTTTTAGAAAAATGGTTTATTTTAAATAATTAAAAAAAATTAGTTCTTAATCCATCAGAAAGTAAAATCGTTAATGTTATATTTATTTTAATTTTAACATCTTTCATTTTTACTTTAGCATTAATTTTAGAAATTCTCAGTTTTATAATGAATCCTATTTAATGTTTAATAACTTAAAAATCAAGATTTTAAATTTTACAAGTTTCCTTTTATTTTCGAAAAAGCGAAACTGTAACCAAATCTCACGACTGCTGTTGTCAACCTTCCAGACGCAATCATACTGTCATGACAATACGTTTTGGGATATTGTTATAGCCTGCCCAGTAACAGTTAAGTTACGGATCTAGTTCAGTCGTGGAAGTGGTATCAGAAAATTTCATATTCGGAATTTAAAGATGAAATGAACAAACTTGATGCACTGACGCATCGAAGTTGCCTCCGCTTTAAAAAGCAGCAATGAAATGAAAAAGTGGAATCACTTTGCAATATTAACTCTTCCACATGGAAGATGATGAAGGATTTTCGCAACACTCCAAAGGTAAATTCAAGGATCTAACAGTTTCGCCTTCACAACCAAACATAAAATAGAAATCTTTGCTAACTAACGCGCTGACATTGACCCACAACATCATGCCTTTGTCACCGATGAAGTTTACTCATTCCTCAAAAGCCAATCCTTCTCACAAGCAATTGGTGAAAAAAAACACTATTGACGAGATTAACAGTTCTATTCAAAAACTCAAAATCAGAAGAGCTCCCGGTGGTGATGGAATCATCTACAAGATGCGGAAACTTCTACCAAACTACGTCAACAAAATTATACAAATTAACAATTCAACTGATGCTTCTCAATGAACTTCTCCTCTGCTTAAAAAAATTAAAAATCATCCTTTTTCTTACAAGGAACAAAAACTCAAATCTACTCGAGTGCTATCGTCCGATTAGCCTCCTCTGCACACTAGGAAAAATTTACGAGAGGATTGTATACACAAGAATCAAACCTTATCTAATCACTCTACGTGATGAGCAGTTTGGTTTCAAGAAAAAGCTTGATACAACAAAACATTGATTTTATAACCGTCGTTGAATAGCTGACCCCATTTTCTTGGGTTTTACGATTACTAATGTTCAACTCCGTAGCCTTGTAGTTTCGAGCCCAAAATAGACGACATGCGAACTCCTAGATCTAGTATTGGAAGTAATTTGTCTTCGTGGAGGACTTTTTGATGAAACTAACCCGCATTTGCATTACATGGAGAGGAAAACCAACTACTATGTATTGTAGACTATGAAGAAAGAGTCCTTGCGAATAAACAACATCTACCTTCTTAATGATAAACATTGTAAAAGGGTTCGACAGTGTCTGGCACCAATGCATTTTATTTAAACGTATGCAATTTAACTTTTCACCTGAAGTCATTAAACCCATCCACTGTTATCTTACAAAGAGAACCTTCAAGTTTCATTCGACAATGTCAAGTCAAACATTCGTAAAATTATTAACTGGGATACCTTAGGATAACATCCTGGGACCTGTTCTTTATTATATATGATTTCCTAATTAATAGTTTGGGATCATGAAAATACCATGGCTTTTTATTCTGATGATACTGGCATCATGATAAAATCTAGAAATCCTACTAATGCCATCATCAAACTTCAAGATGTGTCCTACAAAATAGAGGATCAGTGTCTCAGATGGATGGTCTGTGTGAAAGCTTGAAAATCCTTTTTTTTCCAATGCCCACCTGTGTTAGCATTTTTTCGTCAATTCAGGCGCTTACAGGGCAGATTTATTGGCCTCTCTTTCAGGGGCATCATATTAGGAGGGCCAACGTTGCTTGAAAATCTTAAATTTTAGCTATTCATAAAACCAGAATTCCACTACCTCCTCAAAACCAACCCACGTTCTTCCCTACTCCAGTTACAATTGTAAACAAATCCATCTAGGATTTGTTAAAAAAAAGCTTACTTTATCATGCAAAATATGTTATCGATCAACAAAGCCCAAGCAACAATTTATCAAATTCAGCATTTAATCTACAACTACAAAATGAATCACAATCTTAATATTTATCTGTTTTTAATATTGGCACGGAAGGCTCAGACGCAACCCCTTCTTTCTTCAAACTCCGGAGGATTCCAAATTTTTAATTTTTGGTATCAAGGGACATGCTGGTAAGCAGACCAAAAATAAGTATAGATAAGATTTTTAAACTAAAATGGTCTTTTCCTCTAAAACAACAGTCGGAGATTCAATGCCAGTAAGTGGCAACGTTGAAGAAATAGATGTAGTTTCACGAAGTCAGTATAAAGTCTAAGAATCTTATTTTCCAATTATTTATTTATTTCAGTGATACGAGGTTCACAAAAGTAAGCAAAAAATGCGATCAGTATATTTTGGGTATGTGTTGATAATTGTAGATTGGGGACATCCCCACAGTCAATCAGTGAGAATCAGGAGTCGCTTTGTTATTCCGACAAGTAATTCACATGATTCTTCTAACTTTATTTAGAGATAAAAGCAGTGACTAGATATGTAAGAGCTTCTGCGCTGCTTTCTAGGATAGCATCAAGGGAATGAAGTTTTCAGCTAACTACTGATGCATAAAAGAGAAAGGTTGCGAAACGCCCTTACTCAAATTTAAAACAATTTTGTTATCCCTACACCAACAACTAAAGGATTTGAGGGTAAATTTTAAAAATAGAATCAACATTTATTTTTTCATCCTTCTTCGGTGATTTCTTTAAGATAACCAAATCATCGACGTAGAACAAACAACGTATGACGAGAATGAATTATAATGAGTATATCAAGTCATTGATGTAGCTGTTAAAAAGAGTGCAGCTGTCAACTGAGAATGATCAATTTGAAGATCAAAATTATCAGAAATTATGTTTTTAAATAGAAAAAGTTTGAAGATAAAAATTAATAGAAATTATATCTCTAAATCGAAAGTTTCAGCAGCTTTGACCAAAGAGAGCTCGGAACTAATTTATCATAGTTTAATTGATACATGAAAAAGACAATTTTGTGCAAATAGTGTGACCCCAAATGGAGTAATTATGCCTTCTAAAAACTGACCAAAATAGCTTTCAGGTTTTCACTATTATTAATGACGTTTTTGATTGCATGGCTGAAAACTGTGACTTGGTCAACAATAGAAGGATTAAAGGTTCTGTTCCTCTAAGAATAATTAGGAATTCTCAGGGTTCCAGTTGAGCAACAAAATTTAAATTCCTTCATTAACTTGGACTTGCCATCTATGCTAAAAAGATAGTCCCAAATTTTAAACTGGGTTCGGTGCAAAATTGGTGACACAAAAGAAAGCACTTTTCCAGTTTTCGGACGTGGTACCACTATTTTTGCTTATTCTCCATACGATTCAGGAATTTTACAGTTCTCCGCTTAATATATACCGCACTCCAGGGGGACTTTCTTTAATTTGAACTTCTTTAATTATGGATCGAACTTATATTCACTAAAGGGAGCTGAAGAAAATAATACTCCCTAAGAAAAAAGTAACACTGGAAATGATTCTAAATTATAAAAGATTGAAAATTTACTAAAATGATTTTTACTTAGTAGTGATCCGCTTATTTCCAATGTCTTAAAAACAACTTCTGATAATTTTTTTTAAAGAACTCGATTTTGCAAACAATATATCTTATTTTAAAAGAAAACTATTTGAAATCAGTTGAATATATAACTATAGTTTTCGCACACATTTTGTACTAAGGGAAATAAGTTATATAGAACATTCCAATAAATATGATAATTAATGAAAATTATAGTTTTCTTAAATACTAGTCAGCAAGAGAGATAGTTTATTTTTATCTATTTATTTCTTTTTCCTTTTTCTTCGTTTTTTCTAAAATTATTTTTCACTTTTGTTTTTTTTCTTCTTTTTTACTCGCTAAAATGTCACAATGAATTTTGAATACTATATGCATTATAGTAATATACAAAATCAAATCTGCAGAATTTGTTTTTTTCTAAATAACATCAAATGGTGAATTTGACAATTTTTTTGTTATTAAAATACTGCCAATTAAAATATCAAAAAATTCTAAATTAAGATTTTTGATCAATGTCCTCGAAATCTTTAAATTGATAATTTTAAGAAAATGTAATTGAGAATGAAATGTAGGCCTGTTTTCTTTTCGAAAATACGACCACAGTGCAGAGGTTCTTTGTCCTTTAATTCACAGGATTGACAACAGTGTAGCCCCACCGCATGGAGTGGGCATTCAAATGTTCAATCAAAAAGATTTTTCATCAATTAGAAGATAAGAGCTGATTTTATGATAGAGGGATGTATAAAGAATAGATTCTGAAGAAATGACCCACTTATCATATTTAAAATTTAACAGTCTTACTAAAATTTAACAGTCTTACGTATCATCAATATTGTCCACTTGTTTAAAGGTGTACAATTGAGATAAGAGATAATTTTTTATATTTGTTAAAATAAACAGGTGATTTGTCCAAACTTTGGCAATAAATATAATTCATAACCAGAAAATGGGACGAGTTTTTAACTGCAAATTTACTTCCTGTCATGGGAAAATGTAAATCTAATGTTTCCTTAACGATTGTAGTCAATCAAGCCTTTTAAGCCAAGCGAAGTCAGTTGAATTTCAATACAAAATAAGCTGATTTAAAAATCTCAGAAGAGGAAAAAAAACTGATGAAGTTTGGAGTTATAGATCTCTTAGCCGTCGAAACGTTTCCGAGGTACACCACGAGGAGGTGGATCTATAATCGTACCCCTTGTCTTTTTTTTTGCTTCATAAGTAATTGTTTTAATTTTTTTTCTGTTTGTTGTTAAATTACTTTGTTTATTGTTATTTATTGCTAAAATTTNTTTTTTTTTTTTTTTTTTTTTTTTTTTTTTTTTTTTTTTTTTTTTTTTTTTTTTTTTTACAGAATGAAGCAATTTTTTTATTGTAATACCAGTTATGCAGTTTTCTTATAATTTAAGTTCTCACAATTTTTTTTGCAGAAATATCTATTTAACTATTGCTCTCTGTGGCCTGAAAAAATAGCTTATTTTTGTTTTTAAGTACAAAATAGTTTTTTTCTTTTTTTTTCCATTCTGTAAAACAGTTGTTTCCTTCATCATTCAAGTTGTTCTTTAACATCCTTTCAGCTAAATCATATCCATTAAATCATGCAATTGCTTTCATTTGCGTAATTGCTTTTTAAGTACAGAACTGTTTTTTTTTTCTGCAATACATTTTTTTGTTTATCATTCAAGTATATCACATTCTTTTCATACCTTCAGTTTTTTTTTTTTTTTTTTTTTTTTTTTTTTTTTTTTTTNTCTTTTTTTTTTTTTTTTTTTTACACAATACTTTTTTCACTCATTCCACTTCTCATTCTCTTCCTCTACTATTTCCGACTGCAGCAGGAACAAAATAAGTTTTTCAAAGATGACCAAAACCCTTTCTTTTTTCTTTTGTTATCTGCAGTGCAGTCTCCTCCGTCATCATACAAATTGGTCTCACACTCTTTAATATCCTCTCTGTAAAAATAAATAATTTCTTACAATTGAAGTAATATCTGTACCAAGTTATTTTGATAAGCAACTAAATCATATGAGAATACAAATAATGTTTTTTTTTAAATCAGCAAATTTTGGGTCCAAAGGTGAACAACGTAAATTTTCTTTCTATTAAAATAAGCCTTTATAATTATAATATTAAAAAAAAACACTAGTGAATTTAAAAATATTAGATATATTGCTATTTTGATGTAATAGTTGAGTATACTAGCATTAAAGTAAGATTCTTCATCGATGAATTCGATTAAGAGGAAATTAAATATATGAATGTTCTAAACGCATACAGGGAATAGTCATACCAATTTATTTTAAAAATAATAAATTTTTTATTAGGACGTGTAAACCTGTTCTAATTTTAAACTTTAATTTAGAAAAAGAGTGTTTCGCAATTCATGATAAATGTTACACTTAATTTAAATAAATTTAAACTATTAAAAAAACTAAAAAAAAACTTCCTGTTTGTTCCAAATATTTGCTATCAACTTATGGAACTTAAATGTTCATTGTCTTCTATTTTTTTAACGTTTTCCTGCCAAAAGGTACATAAATTTATATAGCAATTTTATTCATCGTAATCTCATTGTAACATTCTCATCGTAAGAGAATTAATAAATTTAAATTATGTTATTCCTTACGTATGCTGCATGCGGCATTCATAATCTCATTGTTATAGTTGCATTTAATTCCGTTGCAAAGGTTATCAATTATTATTAAAAAATTTATACTTAGGCTCAAATTTTATTCAGTTTTCGTTTATTTTTACGAAAAAAGGTTTTAATTCCATTAAGTGGAATTATTTAGTTCTGTAATTTATATATAAACATTTAAACTAAAGTTTCAGTAATATTTTTCGAACAATTTACATGATTTTGGCAAGACAGCTGCTGCTATATCTTATCATCTATTAATCTGCTATGCTATCATCTATTAAAAAGATGAGTTTTTATGTTTTTAAATTATTTTTATTTTTAATTTTTAAAAGTACTTGTAAATCTCATAATTATTTGTTATTATTTTTTTGGCGTATTTAAAGCAGATATGAAATAGTATTTTTAATATTGGCTATGAAGTCAAGAAAGTACTAATTTTTTTTATTAAAAAAATATTTTACCATCTATTTCAAACACAAAAATTTGCTTTCCAAATATGTACGAGAATGTTATGAGTATTAACAGGGAAATAATTGAAAACTACATGTAATAAGATATAATTATTTATAATTTTTAAAAATATTGATATATTTCACAATTAAATGATATTTTTTGACTCATTTTAAGCAAAAATAAACATTTTTCTTAGCTTTGGCTATGAATTCAAGAAAGTACCATGTCGCTGTTGGAGTTTTAAAATCATAATTCCTTTTAGTCAGCCATTTATTTTTTTAATGTTTATTTTTATATTTTTTTTGGAACTTATATTTTACAGCTGTAGAAAACAGTCGAATATGGTACTTTTTCATTCAAGTGTTATTCACGGGTCATGAATAAATGATTCGTAGTTCACCCGCAGGACATATATTGTTCAATTTTTTAATGATGTTGTCAAAAAAGTGAAAAAAAGAGTAGATATTGAAAGCTCTCTGATTAATCAAAAGTACTTGAAATAGCTGGAAAAAGCATTAAAACTAAAGATTACTAAAATAACTCTCAATTAAATACAGATTTACATACCTTTGGTTTTCAAAAACCTCAACTCTATGTTTCTCATCAGAAACATTTTCAACAATTCCGGGGTCACCAGAGCCTCCAGAATCATATGCCACTCTAAAATTATTAACGAAAATAAGGAATTTTTATGTAGTTTTCAATGCATAAATTTTAGAATTATAATGAATTTTCATTATTTTTTCAATTATAAAGTGCTTAGTTATTTTAAAAAAGAGTTTAAACGTATTCAGAATTTCAACAATGATTTTTTTTTCATAGAATAATATTTTGGTTTTAATATACATGTGGGTAAGGTTTTAATGTGCGTGTGAGTAATTAACACAAGTATATATGAATTTTGTTTCAATAAAACTTGAAAATTGAATTTGTTAAAATACTTCAGCCAAAAATTCTAAAGCAAAAATATGTAAATACTCTTGAAATGCCCATTATTTTTTACTAAGAATAGTGTTAGTGTTAGTTTTCTTCCCGGAATCTAAAATGTTTTGATGCTTTATGTTACACCTTCCTCATTAGTAATTAAATGGATTTCAATAGCTTTTTGTATTTCTCTGTTGTTAAAATTCATTATCCTTAATGAGTATACTCTTTCAATCTTCTCTATGAATATGGATTTAAAAATTGTATACTAAGGGCCATCATTACAGAACACCATGTGAGTAAATTGGTAATAATGTAGTCCTTGAAAACCTTCGAAATACAATTCCTTACTTATCAAATTTTTTGTACATAAATTTTCTTTTGGCATTTATCGTAGCTTCTTTTTCTAATTATCAATTCGAAAAACAGAGCAGGACGAAAAGTACATTTTTTATTGTTGAACAGAATTCGAAATTATATAAATATAAAAATCATAACTTATAAGAATCAAAAATAAGTTTTATGTTCTAGAAGGGATTTATAACACAGCAACTCTCCTATAAAATAGAAAGTATATTATTTAATGATATCATAGCCAATTAGATTTATAATTATTCAAATATAGTAGATTGAAACTCACGTGATAATTTATTAAATAACTTTTTCCTAAAATATTTGTTTTTCTGAAAATTATAATATATTTCTTGAGATTTAAATCTTGTAAAGTATTTTAAGTTTTTAAAAAATAAACAAAAATAAATTTAGAAATATTCTTCTGCTGCCCCAAACATAGACAGGCAAGGTTAAAATTTTTTTTTACTTAAATTTTAAAAAAATCAATTTGAATACAAATTAACATACCTCATATTTTCACAATTTTTCATAATCAGATTTTGAACAACAAAATCCCCAATACTGTCAGATTCAACAAAGAATCCGTATTCGTCACATTTCACAATATGGTCACCACTAAAATTATAAAAAGTCATTTTTCACGTATAAGCACGATTTATAATACATGGTTGAATATAATTTTATATTTAACTTGATAAGAAAATAGGGATATGTATTTTATATGAATTTTTACAATACTAACATTTTAACTTTTTCAATGTTATTTTGTCCATAGGTATCAGACAAGTATTATTATGATATAAATTTAGAAATTCTAAGTATACTTAATTTAAAAATAAATTTGCGTACCCAATATTTTCATCATTCTCATAAGCTAGATTTAAAACACCATAACTTTCTTCAACATCAGACTCAAAATTAAATTTCTTTCCATCATTCTCACTCGTTTGAGTCTGAGAAACAAAATCATCCTTACAATCGGCCTCAACATAATAACCAAATTCATCATATTTCACATCAATTTCAGCACTAAAATAATAATACGTCATGGTTTACTATTTCGGCATGATATATAACACACGGATGCATACTTTTTAATGTATAATACCTATAAGAACTGGTGAATATTTTCATGCAAAAGGTGTAAGTGTTTACAATCGAATTATTAAAAAATGCACTGTTGAATAATGCTTAAGGTGTTATATTATGCATGTAATGCTTTAATTAATTCAAATAACTAAGATAAAAATTTCACAAACATTTGCAAAATTCTGCTTAATAATAAAATTATTTAAATTTATCGGTTATGATTTTTAAAAAATAAAGTTTAATAAGCAAAAAAATTTGTCAGTTTTATCTATTTCGGTTTTTTTATTTATTTATCTTTTATCCTGTTCACTATTTAATGTTAAAAGGCGAATAAAATAATTTTTCAGATGAATATTATATTTATTTATATCTGAACTTTGAAATTTAATAAAAGAAACCTTGAAGTTAGTTCGAGGATTTAATTAGTTCTTTTAATAAATGCATAAACATTCAAGAACATATATGTGTAAATCTCCTGCAATACTCTATATTCTGCTAATAATGGAGCCTCTTCTATATCTTTAATTAGTAAAAAGATGTACCATAAATTAAATTTGTAGAGCTCTATATTTGTAAAATCACAACCTGCATACTTCAAGGATATCTTAAAATAAAAAAAATTAAAATTTTCACCATAAAAGTAAAAATTCCTTTGGTGAATATTTATATGATCCTAATTTGGATGTAATCTTTATAATCATGAACAGTTCAATAGATTTAAAGAGTGAGTTTTTGTAAAATTGCAACTATGTGTTTGTAACTATGAGTTTCAATAGTTTTATGCATAATTGTAAGCATTTGGAATAGCAGAAAACGAACAACATACCAAAATCACTAATTGAAAAATTTGAAGAAATTTCAATTTAAAGAAAAATTAGCATACCTGATGCTTTTTGCAACCTCATCACCTAATGGTTGGGCCGATATGTTTTCCACAATTTCCGGTTCCTCAGAACCTCCAATATCAATTTCCACAATCCTAAAATAAGCATAAAATGAACCTTAATAAATTTATATGTATGTATAATTTCAAATAACTTAAAGTAGGCCTGTTTTTTTTTTTATTTAAAGAAAATATTTGGCAATCAATTAAGAAAATCATTATTAAAAATAAGTTTTTTTCAGTGTTCTTTTAAGTTCTTCACATTTAAATTAAATTGATATTTTTGATGTGTTTTAACGCGAGATGATTTGGCATTTTTTAAAAAAGAATATTGTAATGTTTTACATTGCTTGTCAATTAGTGAATAAATGTGAAAATTTTCCCATCGACTCTTAGAAAGTATAGTTACAAATTACTATTTGAACTGGATAAAAAATAACTATCAAGATCCAACGGATCATTATCTATGTGTAAATTTAGATTGAAAACATTGATATCAGTTTGATTGCTTGAATAATCTTGGGAGTTTTCTAGTTAATTTATTTTAAATCCTTTTTCTTTCTTCCATCATTATTTCACTTCACTTTTCTCGGTAGCAATTTTTTACAGCTCAAATAATATAAATATTAGTTTGTGAGCATTTAAACTTCTTTATTTAATTTCTTCCACAAGAATTTTAATAACCTACATTGAACTCCCAAATACTCGGCATATTTAAAATGAATAATTGTGAATTAAATTCCTTTGTAAAATTATTTCTGATTTAAAAGCAGTTTTATAATGAAATCATCCTTTAATTGTTTACTTGTTTTGTTTTGTTATATTTTGTTGAAAATATAGATTGTATTACAATAACTCCCCCTATTATGCCAAAGCAAAATGTATATGAATAGAAACATATGTACAACCCAAAAGTTTGCTAACACACACAGAGAAAAATATTCTTGTAAATTTACCGTACTGTGTAGTAATGACAATTCTGATAAAAAAAGAGCAGCATTATAAAAATCAAAAATGGTAAAAAAAATGGTAAATGGTAATAAAAATCAAAATATATACGGTATTGAAACCATTCATTTGGTACATTTTCTCTTCACATGGTAATGAATGAGCGGAAAATGTAGTTTTTGAAAATATAGTTCTTATTCCCACACATTTGGTAAAACATGAAACATTAAGAAGTTAATTTTACCGGATCAATTATTTTTGAATCATGGTCTAAGATGTTACCTCATCTATCACATTATTGTTAATTTTACAAATATCTTTATCAAAGTGCTTTATTTTAAACTACCAAGATTTTTTGAGTTCCCATAGATCCACGGATATGATAAATCTCTCCATATTCTGGTAGTTTTGACGATAATTTTTTCTCAGTGCTGTTTGTTTTGGTCTTTTTCCTATTTCGTGCCTATATATTTATAATCTTAATTTGTGCTCTTTTTTAGGGAATTCAGCGTATTTATGATTATATCATATTTAGCGACTTGAAAAATATATACTTACTCATTGATTGTTTCATCCTCACTTTCGACATCATCATAATCATCCTCATGAGCTAAATATAATTTCACAGTTAGGAAAAATTCAACTCTTAACATTTTAAAAAGATATAATATAATCTAAATTTTAAAAGAAGTTATTAGCTATTTTGAAAATATGTTTCAAAGACTTGTATTACTTTAATTTTACAACACCTTAAAAATTGGAACTGTTATTAATTACAAATATGAAAATTATAAAAATAACTTCAACGTGCATGTTTGTTGTAATTTTGTTTCAAATTTAATGATTGTTTATTTATAATTGTATGTTTTGTAATGCAAACAAGTTTAAATGAAACAAATATTTTTTTACCAATTGTCTATTCTGAAAAATGGAACTTTTTTTAATCTTGTTTAAATGCCTATAATACTATAAAAAACTATAATACTTTATACTTTACTTTTAATGCTATACTTTAAATACTACAAAATGATATAACATAACAATAGCAGCAGCACAGTTTTTTCAAGTAATCATAAGATTAATTGCCGCTTGGCATAAAAAGTAGTAGACAAGATTGTGTAAAAAATTTAAAATCTATTAAATGAAATTTTTTTGAAAAATACTTTATTCTATTGATTCTTCTAGTTCTTTCCATTTCTTCTTTGATATCACCCACTTATTTTGACAGAAGCCAAAAAGGACTTTAGCAAGGCCCTTTTAGGAGAAATTTGGTTGCGTTATGAAAAATTGTTATCGTTTAATTGCGCCTCTCACAAATGCTAAACAGTTTAAGGGGAAGGCTGATTTTTAACAAATTATTTTGTCGCATAACGGACTATTTAAAAACTATTACATCTTAACGATGGAACCTTCACACTTTTTTTAATTTCAAAATCGTCAAAATAAGATAAAAATATAATCACGTCATCATCTCACATAATTGTAACTGAAAAAAAGAGTGCTTTCTAATATATATAGCTTTCTAATATTACTATAGCTAAAGAAAAATATATCAATTCAATATATCATGACACTTAATGCCAGTAACATTTCGTAAGTTAATTGATAATTTTTATTATGGTCTTGCTATTAACATTTGAAATTTCTTTTTCTTTGAAAAAGTAAAAATCTCTTTACTAAGTTTTGTCAACCAAAAATTCTATAAATTGCATGACTGCTAATATTGGAATAAAAATAAAAAGTATAGGCTTACGCATAGGCCGAGGATACTTCATCATCTGGTCTAACCAGTGATTAATAATCGCTTGTCTATGCAAAGGAAATTTCTTCCTGTGCATTCGCCAGAAAGGCATGAAAGTTTGGTGATATAAATCACTCATAATAGCACTTTTTTAAAGCTTTTCAAAATCGC